AGACAACACAGGAGCGTCCAACAAACTTAAAAAATTCCGCGCGCTAGGAAAAGCCACTAACATCATAAGCAAGTAAGCGGTGACTCTAATATTAGTTTACTTGTTCGGCTGATGTAAGACAATTCCAAACAGATGAACCCCAGGCACCTTCATTGTTTACTTTTTTGCTGTGACTACACACCATGAATGACATGGGTATGACTTGCTTATGAGTCAGTCTTCGTTGTCTATGCCGGCAAGACTAGCTGCTCGCACTAATAGCCCCTGTCGGCTGATGGCGGGACGAATGAGTCCAGTTAGCGATCGGGTGAGCCGAGAATTACTTCAGTCATGGCTAACGGGCCCCAAAAATATAAAAAAGTGCAACAATTTGCCCAATCCATATTCGGTGCTGAGACTCAATTTGGGCAAAGTAAGTCACCAGTTGGCGTCATCTTACGCCAACACCAGAAGGCCAGATGGCCGAGTCATCATCACGCCTGAGTCCACCACGCGCGGTGAAAGTTCAGCAGGTCAGGGCCTGCATGCTGTTCAACAAACTATCAACACGCAAGAAGGAAATTAGCGTTAATTGTCGTTGTATGTTTGCAGTAATGACTTTATCCTATAAATACTGCAAACTCCTGTGCATGCGCTACCCTTATCTGCTACTGCTCTCAAATTATGTCTCTGATGACGAATCCGCGACGAATCTCGAAAGGTCAGGCGAATAAAAGTATTGCGCCAGCGATCGAGTCTTCGTCTTCTCAATTACTTTCTGGGACTCGCATGTTCGCTTGTATTGGCAATGCCAATATTCCTGAGTGAGACCGGCAAGACAAAGAACCGGTGGCTTAAAGAGTTAGAAACTTGGACCTCTGATCAAAGCGTCATGGGTTCGAACCTCGGGGGGGGGTGCATCACTTGGATTTGAGTATGAATGACCCATGACGGCTACGGAGCCAGAAATGGCCATTCCAGTCGTCATTGTTTTTATCAGCCTACACAAAAGCCGAAAGGCTGACGCTGGAGGCATGGTACTCAGATGCCAACTCTGTCAACAGGCATCTAGACCTGCCCGCGGCTTACAAAGTCTTGCGCCATTATATAGGCAAAAGGCAGAACAAAGCCAAACTCTTTACCGTGGGAACAAGGTGCCACACTAAATACTGTTCATGACCCCCGATTCCACTGACAGCTAATTAGCCTACACCGCTATAATTGCCCCTCCCCCGCAGATTCCACTGAAAGCTTATTAGCGTACACCATCATAATTGCCCCCCCCCGCATCCTTCCTGATTGCTGTTTCTAACACCTTGACAACCTGATGACTTCTGGCAGTTGATTGGCCAATGACCACTATAATTATCCTCCTTTTGGTTGTTGCTTCTCATCTCTGAAGATGGACTTCTGTAAGAGTTCGAAAGCTCAGGACCATAAACCCATTCATCCGGTGCTCTAAACGTCTTCTTCTTTATCTATGCAAATAGCTCGAACGCGAACCTTTTCATTAATTCGAGACAACTAGCTGTTGGAAGATGCGCTTAGTATATTGGTAGGGCTTCACAGGGGGCTGTTCACAGAGTTTTAATCCACCAGAAAAGTGGACCTAAGGGTAGTAGAAGGTATTGCCCCCAGGCATGACTCGAGGACTGCCAAATACTTCATCCCTTGAGGACGCCTTCTACGCACGTGTGGCGAGCGAAAGAAGCGTTGCATAGCTGGATCCTAATCAAAACGTTATCAGCCTCCGGCAGAAAAAAAAAGAATCGTCTAAAGGGTGGTGGGGGCAAGACTGGATGTTCTAAAAAGCAGCTGCCTTGATTGGCTTTTTTGGAAAGCAAACTATGAACCTAGTATGCATAACCTTAAAATGAATTTTCTCCCCAACAACATAGGGAATGTCAACGATAAAAAATTTCCAAAAATACGCAAAGACGGA